TCGAGAACGGGTGGCGATATCGAGATGCGGTTTTCACTAAAATTTAGCAAATTTTAAGGTGACTAAGGGTCTGTGAAGTAAATAGTATCGTTCCATTTAACTTTTCTTCAAAAATCACAAAAATATGTAATCGCTGCAGATAACGTCCTCTAGCTCATTTGTTTTAAAGCAGACGGTCTTACTGAAAATATCTTTAAAAAGAGCATAAAATGCTCTTTCAAACAACACCGAAAATATTCAAATCGGTTGAATGGTCCAGGAGATATTAAAATGTAAACATTTGAAAACGCATTGGCCTCCCCCTCCCTTATTATGACAGATATGAGAAATATCGCAAAACAAAAGCGATGCGGTATTATCCAAGCTACTAAATGATGTTGTCAACGTTATAGCTCATCGTCTAACTTTCTGAAATAGCGGGAATTTTATGATTCTCTATGGCAGTTACGCCCCCTATCGGTCGAATTACGAACTTCAAAATAATTTCCAGCTATTTCTCTTGCCCACTTTGCTTATAAGGATTTTTTTCCCAAACCTCTAGGCCTTACCGTTGTTGAGATACAGTCGCTCCGTACGCTTAATGGGACACCTGTATAAAAAAAAATTAAGAATTTCTTGACTTGTGTAAATATTATTTTCGTTATTGTAATCGATTTTAACCCTTTTTAATACTAATATTAAGAGATCAAACAGATAATTATTAGCTCACATGCATCAAATGACGTAAATTAGTGAGTCTTTGACAAGAACTCATTGAGAAGGCTTGTTTTCCATGGCACACTAGGCTAAATGATATGTGCTAAATATCCATATGATATGTGTGCATTTTTCAAAAAACCCTAATTATCTCCCAAACTATTAATGTTAGGTATGGGACATATGGGATATAAAAGATGTAGAATGAGACACCAAAGACGACTAAGTAATAAAATATGACCAAACGTTCTAGACAGCCGTTCTCGTCACCAAAACATACTCCATCATGTTGCTTAAGCATGTTCTGAATCCTAAATTGATATCCCAAAAATCGAGTGTTCTGATTTTTTGAATAAATGTCTGCTGGAGCAGATTTTTCTAGAAAAATTCGAATAACTCGAGAACGGCCGAATCAAATTGCAAAAAGTAAAGTTATTTATAAACCATGAAAACAGACAAATCCAAATATTTAAAAATATACAGGGTGTTCCATTTAAATACATAAAGTAGGTGGCGACTTCCGGTATAACCGGAAGTGTTGCGCATCTGAAAATATTTTAGGCGAAGAGAACGCAATTGATAATATTTAAGTCTGAATTGTAAAATTTTTATTTTGGCCAGATCCCCAGAAATGTCTAATGACCGGTCTCGCTGAAACACCTGTATAATATGCTCACTTTCCTATGAAATCCACCACCCATTAAATTTCAAACTACAATTTTGAAACTTCGGTAAAATAATGCTTTATTATCAACTAAGAAACGATGAAAGTTTCCGCCGAAAAAAACTCAACTGTTATGTTTCCTGTTATCTCTAACTTTCAATATTTTCTTCCTAACAATTAATGAATTGCTGCCCAGAAAATGTCAGTTTGTATGTATGTAAGCGTGGAGTGCGTAATTTTTACACGTGCACTTAGGCCTCAGTGGGCCCCTTGTGCATTCTCCCTTGGAGGCTTGAGGTGGTATGAGAAGGTATCTCGTTAGGTGACGATACCGCTTACTCGTTGCCAATGACGAGTTATTTAGTTTATTTATTATAGTTTATTTGATTGTCAAACTGTCAAGCCCCCAGTGCGACGTGCGTCGTCGAAATTTTGTCCACATCAATGACTTTGATAGGGGCCGAATTATCGGTATGAAAGAGGCGGGTCTCTCATTCCGTAAAATTGGGAGAAAGCTGAATCGGAACCGTCGCCGTCGAGCCGTCCTGCTGAAAGTCCCACCCGAAGAAGTAACGCACGTGAAGACCGACTCCTTAGGCGAATGGCTACTAGGGAGCGATTTCAAACAACAAGGTCAATTGCTGTGGATTGGACGAGAGCTTTGAACCGACACTTGTCGATGACAACTGTTTACAGAAGAATTTCTTCCTTTGGGTTTTATTCATTCAGTCCTTACCTTCGGCTTCCATTAACACCTCTCCATAAAGCAGCCAGACTTGCATCGTGTCAAGAACGGCAAGGATGGGTTCATCAATGGAATGACTTCGTCTTCAGTAATGAATCAAGGTTTTGTTTATGGGTGAATGATGGTCGTGCGGCGACATCGAGGAGAAAGACGGAATTTGGAGTTTGTTCAAAGACGACAGCTGGGGTTATGGTTTGGAGGGCTTTATGTGCTGGACAAAGGTGCAGCACATAACCTTACGTTCATTCCAGGCATATTAAACGCATGTCGTTACATCGACAACGTTCTGGAACCGGTGTTAGTACTTTTTATGCAGACGTTGCAGAATGTCACTTTCCAACAGGATAATGCAAGACCCCATACTGTTGTGGTTACAAAAAAGTTCCTGGAGCAGGTTGGATTGAAAATTTTGCCCTGGCCTGCACGGTCACCGGACTTGTCGTCGATTGAACATGTCGGCGACTAAGACAAGTACCCAGGCCTCCTGAGAATCTGGATGAAATTCGACACCATCTAGAGGTTGCATTGAACGAAATACCCCAGGAGGACAGCGACCACTTAATAGAGAGCATGGGTAGAAAAGTTAAAGCATTAATAGCTGCGCGTGGGGAACCAACCCACTACTAGGTTTTTCTTGAAAAATGTTAATTTTTGTAATGTTTTTTTTCAACGAAACTTTCATCGTTTCTTAGCTGATAATAAAGCATTATTTTACCGAAGTTTCAAAATTGTACTCTAATTCTTAATGGGTAGTGTATTTCATGTGAAACTAAGGGCCGGTTCTTCAGTCGCTAGATAAACTCCAGTTAAGTAAATCTCGGTATGTAGTTACAAGATAATCGTAAATGAATTAATTTGTTCTACCGAACAATGAGAACGTCAGTTTTTATGGTTTTAATTTGAATTATTTATTTATTTTATTTTGTTTTTTGTAGTTATGGTTTTTTATTTTTTATTAACAAACTTATTACTACGATATTATAATATATTACACTTAATGAATGTGGCGGTTGCCACATGGTATAACTTGAAAAGTCAATTCTCGTCAGTTTAAAGATCGATATATCGAGAACCGTCCGATGAAAAAAATTGCGGTTAGCTTTGTTGTATTCACTGAACATTTCTACGTAACATATGTGAATTTGAAAATTTTCGACTCCGCGGTTGTCCTAAAATCGCGAGTTAAATGAAAAAAGTAGCCTATTTTGGACGATGCTGGCAACTTTGTCCACTTTGCGATTTTTTTTCTCAAAAACTATCCGACGAAAAAAATCAAATTTGAACAGGTGATACCCTGATGTGTTCTTAATGATGTGCATATTTAATTTTTTCGATATTCCATATAGTTTCGCGGAAAATCGCGGATTAGTAAAATGCGGTATAGTCGAAAACGGCTGGTTGGATTTTAACGCGGTCTTAACCAAAATATGGTAAATAATTGTGTTTGTCGAATCCTGTTATTTGGTTTTCAAAGTTTTGTCTCCATAATTTTTTTAAAACAATTTACGCGTGCTATAAATTAAAAAAAAAACAGAAATAAGCCATGCGGGGGGAGAGGGGTTCCGTTCAGTTGGAAAAAGTGGTGCTGGTTGTGTTCCAGACTGGCTTCGACGTGGCGTACTGAAATCTGAAGTGATTCCGGTAGTTCCGTCTCAGAATGTAACAGACGCTCAAGACGCATTCCGCGCTCTGGAATATTTTTCGTATAATTATTTTGTATCTGTTTGTAATATTTATTTGTTTCATTTTACCTTCGCGCGTATTTTTTTCAATATCTTACAATATATTACATGGTATATGCGTGAATGGTAAAGGTAAAATGAAATAAACAAATACTACAGAAAAATATAAAATAATTATACAGGATGTATCTGAATGACTGCAACAAACTTCAAGGGGTGATTCTTTAGTGAATTTTAAGGATACTTTGATATATGAACCATGGGTGACTTCGGCTCCCCTAAGGAGCTACACCCCTCCAAAAATGGCGGAAAATTTTGGTTTATTTTTATTTCTCAAAAACCATAAACGCTAGGAAAATGAAATTTGGGGAATATGTTTAACTCATAATAGGGCACGTTTGACCCTATTTGTACTTTCAACCTACCCTTCTAAACTATTAAACGTAACCACCCCCGTTCAATTTATGCTTAGATTTTTTTTATGAAGATGATAAATACATTGGAAAAATTTCAGTTAGATAGATAAAACTATTCTAAAACTTTTTTGTCTCTTTGATGTTCATCGAAAATTTAATAATTTCTGAGAAAAAAAATAATTAAGCAAACACTAACTGTTAAGCTGTAGGGTTGTTAATCGAAAGTTGGAATGAATTTTTAATGAAAAAATCTTAGTAGACTTTGCAGTCTCTGTCATAAATATTTTTGACGTTTAAATGTCAGTGTTTTTCTTACCATTATTATTGTTTTATTTAAAATTTTGAAACGTCGACTGAACGAGCGTAAATGCGATAGAACTTTATTTAACAATTAATTTGAAAAACAATAATAATAGTAAGAAAACCACTCACATTTAAACGTCAAAAATATTTCTGACAAAGACTGCAAAGCCTACTAAGATTTTTTCATTAAAAATTCTTTCCAACTTTTGATAGACAACCCAGTTGTTTAACGGGCAGTGTTTGCTTTATTATTTTTTTTTCAAAAATTAGCCGTTTTTGGAAAAATTTTAGAGAGATAAAAAAGTTTTAGAATACTTTCATCTACCTATCTAAAATTTTTCTAATGTATTTATCATCTGCATAAAAAAAAATTGAGTAAAAATGTAAAGGGGGTGGTTACGTTTAGTAGTTTAGAAGGGTAGGTTGAAAGTACAAATAGGGTCAATACGTGCCCTATTATGAGTTAAACATATTCCCCAAATTTCATTTTCCTAGCGTATATGGTTTTTGAGAAAAAAAACTTAAACCAAAATTTTCCGCCATTTTTGCTCCTTAGGGGAGCCGAAGTCGGCCATGGTTCATATATCAAAGTACCCTTAAAATTCACTAAAGAATCACCCCTTGAAGTTTGTTGCAGTCATTTAGATACACCCTGTATAATATATAATTATTCTATGACGCGTCTTGAGCGTCTCTTAGGTTCTGATGCAAGGTCTACCGGAATCCCTTCAGACTAGACTTCAGTAAGCCAGCAGTCTGGAACACACACTAGCAAAATCTTTTCCAACTGAACGGAACCCCTCTCTCCCCGCATGGCTTATTTCTGTTTCTTTTTAATTTATAGCTCGCGTATATTGTTCTAAAAAAATTAATGAGACAAAACTTTGAAACAATAACAGGATTCGACAAAAACAATTATTTACTACATTTTGGTTAAAACCGCGTTAAAATCCAACCAGCCGTTTTCGACTATACTGCATCTTACTAAACCGCAATTTTCCGCGAAACTATATGGAATATCGAAAAAATTAAATATGCACATCATTAAGAACACATCAGGGTACCATCTGTTCAAATTTGAATTTTTTTCGTCGTATAGTTTTTGAGAAAAAAAATCGCAAAGTGGTCAAAGTTGCCGGCACTGTCAAAAATAGGCTACTTTTTTCAGCGAATACAAAACAAAGCTAACCACAATTTTTTTCATCGGACGGTTCTCGATATATCGATCTTTAAACTGACGAGAATTGACTTTTCAAGTTATACCGAGATTTATTTAACTGGAGTTTATCTAGCGACTGAAGAACCGGCCCTAAGTTAAATAAATAAATCGAATTAATTACCTGTCCCATAACATTAGTACTTGAATAAAACAGTTGTTTTTGGGTACAAACGGTAACCTCAAGTTGCTGACTGCTGAGTTCTCCTTGCGAAATCAAATACTCAAAAGATTCATCAAATATCGGATTACAGTTATCTTTAACAACCTAAACAAAATAAAGAAAAGAAATTAATTGCTTTTTATATTGTATTTTTTTAACTTTCTTACCACAGTTTTACGTTTGGTTTCTCTTGAGCGGTCCGGTAATAAATACAATTTAACATACGGATCCGGAATATTTGATGGATCTTTTAGTGGTAAGTTCCTAGCATTAAAAAGAAATTAATAAATAAAAGAGATTGTTTTATTATTTTTCCTTACGCAATTTGATGAATGACAACGATTAATCTTTGACGTTGGACACTGTAACGAAGAGTTAATTGGATTCTTCCCAACCCAGATTCTCCAGAAGAACTTAAAAGTGAATCAAATTTTAATTACTTATTAATTTTTTTTTTGTTACTTACGAAGTCATGCTGGGTGTACGATGAATTACTCCTGAAGATGGAGGAGTAGACGAAATTATTGGTGAAGTTTCTGGGATAATTTCTTCTTCAACTAAACCTCCAGTTTCTGATTTAATAACATTTTCAGACGACGTAGATTTTTCACTTGGGGGAAGGGATTGTTGATGATCCAAAGAAACCGAACTAGTGGAAATCGTTGAAGCTTGATGAAGTAGAGGTGTTTTAGCCGAATCATTTTCTTGTTTTAAAATCTAAACCAAAAAAAAATAAAGCTTATGATTTTATATATTATGCAATTTTTACCCTTAAATGCATTGACATAATAATTTTGCTGTTATGATCCCCTTTAAGTAAACCAAAAGGTTGTCTTTGAATTTCCAAGTTTGGCTTATCAGCTAACATCGATAAATTAAGATTTAATAGCCCCAATTCATTTCCAGTTTTTTGATCCATTATTTTAATGTATAAAGTATCAGTTTCAGGATTGGTTACTAAAAATGTAAATCCTTCCTCCCAAACTGGATCGCTTGTACGTTTTTGCATCGCCGTTTGTTTGGTGTTTGTGTATAAAGTTAATGTAACGTAAGGATCTGGTTTACTTGAAGTTCTTGCTTGCTGAAAAAATATTAATTGGGAGAAGATTCAATGAGAATTGAGGAAATTTTATTTACAGGAAGATTCCTTGCCGAATCGATGTAAAGTGTTAATAAAGCTGTACTCATTGATGTTACTCGTAAGTATTGAGTTTCTTCTAAAGCCTAAAATTTTCTTGATTAAAATTAAGTGTTTATTTGGAAGTTTAAACTTACAGCTTTTAAATCGGAATAATTCTTTGATAACTTTAACCAAGTTAAACGAACGTGAACCATTCCATGTTTGGCTTTTTCTAAAGTTATCCACTAAAAGAAACAATTGATTCATAAAATTAAATTCGAGAACTATATCGATAAAGAAAAAATTCCTCCTTACCATGTCATCACTTCCTTTTTTAGCAATATTTGCAACTTCGATGGTGGCTCTACACAATAAAAAATGGTAAATAAATTGGGATTAATTAAATTTGTGTTAAAAATTAAAAAGGACATTTATTTATTTTACCAATAAGAATTGAAGGTGGTGAAAAGTAAACGAAATTGATTTATTAAATCGATGAAATGAAGTAAGGATAAGAAATGATGCATTTGCAAGAGGTACAAAAGAAAGAAGTTTTACAAAACATAGGCAACGAAAAATGCTGTTTTTTAAATCGTGTAAAAATCGTTTAAATTGTTTGTTAATATTGAAAATAAGGAAGTCTCAGAAATATCCCTCAACGATTTCGTTGCAGTTTATTAAAGCGATAAAATAAGGTTTACGTATTTATTTGTACGTGCTAATAGCCCCTGGGGGAGTTATGACGGTTGAAAGTCGGGGCAAACGGTATATATTATATTCACTTATAGTTTAAAGACGAAAACAGTTATCCTTATACTGTATCCTTTTTATTGATATATCATACATACCGGGTGATTCAGACCACCCATACCAGGGATTTTTCTCAAAAACGCGATTACAACGAAAATCTTTTAAAATCACTTTTAAAAGTATGCAACCACGGGACCAATGCTATACAGGTGCCCACAAAGATTATTAACTTAAATTTTTTTTATTATGTCGTAAACCCTTAAAATTTTCAACTGATTCTAAAAGTCTATTTCATTTTAAAATTATTTTCGCTCTTAGGAATTGTTGATTCGACGCATTATTTTAGAGTTATTCACAAAAAGATACAACTTCGTCCATGAAATACTGTCATTAATCGTAGGCGCCCATGAAAATAAATCGTAAGTAAAGCAGTAAAGTAATATGTCAAATTAATGGTCATCAATAAAAAGTATTTTTTCTAAACACGCAGCATCAATAGTACATTTTCCATCATAGTATGGCAAAACTGTACTCGCAACGGATGATCAGCAATTTTTACTTCTTGTACTGTCAACATGTGGTATGGATACAACTGCTGTTCGTGTGACACACGCCAAACCGTACTTTTGTATATTCCGAAATATCCGATGATAATGATTTGACAGTTGCTTTACTGTTCCAGTTAGAATTTGTTTTCATAGACACCTACGATTAATGAATACATTTCATAATCGAGGTTGTATCTTTTTGCGAATAACTTTAAAACAAAAATTTCTAAGAGTAATTATTAATTTTAAAATGAAATACGCTCTTAGAATCAGTTGTAAAATTTAAGGGTGTATGACATAATAAAAAAGTTTTAAGAACATAACTTTGCGAGCACCCTGTATAGCATTGATCCCGTGGTTGCATATTTTTAAAAGTGATTTTGAACGATTTTCTATGATAAAATTGTACTATTTACCAAGCTTTATCTTTCTAAGACAAACCATATTGAAAATATTTAAGAAAATGTTTAAAAATTTCTTAACTTTGAAAGCCCATATCTTAGCCATTTATGGGTTTAGACTAAAATTTTTTACACGAATCATCATCATTTTCTCTAGTATTTGTGATTAAAATTATACCACGCTTTACAGGAACATCCTGTATGTATTTTGGCTCATAACATGTAGGTAATATACAGGTGGCCCATTTAAAACGAGCTGAAGGGCATAACTACCAATGAAAGACTTTTTCGAAAAAAAACCTGAAACACGTCAAGTTTGTTTCTCAGGGGGACAACTTTTGACGCAAAAATTATACCCCAAAGGAGGGTAAAGCTCCTAAGCGGGGGTGTCATCCCGCTTGGAAATATTTTTTTTATTTACAACAAATTATTATAGTAATTTAATGGTAAGGTATTTGGATTGAGTAAGTTAATACATCACATGCATATGTACAGGGTGAGCAAATTTGGGTGTTATTATAGGCTATCTCAGAAACTATAAGAGATACGAAAAAAGTAGGTGCCATGTCCCGGTCTCTTTTTTCGAGACTAACCCAATCCCGCAAATTCCAAACCTCTATCTTCTTTTGTTTTTAAGTTATAGCCAAAAAGTCAAATTTTCATGATTTCAAAAAATGCTCATATTTCGTTTATTTTTGAAATTAGAGAAATGGGGTTGATACGTTCTTAAGACACTTTTTTAAGTAGAATATACTGCCGTTGAAAAATTTTAAAAATATTTGATGATTTTTGAGATACAATACAGTTGTATTTTTTTAAATACAATCTATAGTAGATTATGGTGTTACTGAAAAGAGCATATTTTTAGCTTTCCAATGATGTATTGCACGCATGGTGAAAAAAGAGACCGGGACATGGCACTTACTTTTTTCGTATCTCTATTATTATAGGCTATCTCAGAAACCTTATAGTTTCTGAGATAGCCTATAATAACACCAAAATTTGCCCACCCTGTACATGTGGAGTTAGTAATGAATAGATTATTCTACTTTTTTTTTAACCCTTAACCATGGAGGTGCTTAAACCTGGTATATTTGTTGTAAATTGTTAATGTTTCTAGATAGTCTTTCTAGTACTTTAAAAAGTGTTAGAACAATTAGATTACCAAGGAATTACTTGAAACACTTTCCAAACTTATGGTTTCAAAAACACATTTACTCTTCAGATGTTGTCAAATAGATTGTCATTTGTTGTATCGGAGTATCTTATATAGGTTGGTCAAAAATTGAATTACTGTTTCTCCATATTCAATGGTGAGAAAGTCGAAAATTTTAAAAGGAACGCCCCATATTTTTTAGCCTATCAGAAAGAGAGTTGGAGACATGGACCAAAAACTGACAAAATTCCATAGCTTTCTAATAAAAAAACCTGCATTTCTACATGTTTTGATAAATTTACGAATATGAGAGAAACTACAATAAATAGATATAGGAATGTTTATAGATAAATTGTAGAGAATTAAATTCCCTTTCGTGTAGGGTAATAAAATATGGGGCGTTCCATTTAAAATTTTCGACTTTCTCCCCATTGAATATGGAAAAACGGTATTTAATTTTTTGTATCAAAATCGCTGGAATTTGAATGTATGGTGTGGAATCACAGAAGAAAAACTTATAGGCCCACATTTCTTTTCGAAAACGATTTTTGGAAAACGTCTTTTAGAAAACTTTTTTTCTTGGAAACAAGTCATGCAAAAGCTGCGAGATAAGGCCTATACCTACTACCGCAACAACATGTCAGTAACAAAGTTGGAATATTATAAATCTTTGGGTAACTTGGTAAATACATCGATTATCCGGGAACGTAGAGCTTATTTTGAATCGCAATTGATATCTACAAGTAATTGTTGGAGACAGTGGCGCCGACTTTTTAATATTTAAGGGGGGGCTGAACTTTTTCAAATGGTACATCTTATTACAATACAATTGTATTGTACAATACAATCAACAATTAAGGGGGAGCTCAAGCCCCGTGGCGCCGACTACGGGGTGGCTCAAGCCCCGCTGCCCCCCGTAGTCGGCGCTACTGGTTGGGGAGCTCTACAGAATGCGGGAATGTTTAAGAGAAACTGTGTACTTCCGCCCCACCTCGGTTCGTTAAATGATATTCATTAATAATCATTTTATTGCCACAATTGGAGGAAGTGGTGGATCAGACAAAGAGCTTGTAAATTTTTATAACTCAAACCTTAAGCAGGGTGTATATTTCAGCATTCGGGTAGTAACAGACGACGAAGTAGAACGAAGAGTAATGCGCTTGGGTATGATTATCTTAATACTGAATGTAGCAAATTATGATTTGAGATTTGGAACCCATTAGCATCCTGCCCGTGCTCTCAAAAATTGCTGAATGAATATTATATGAACAAATTGCGACATTTGTGGAGGAGAACAACATTTTGCCACAGAATCAATCAGGCTTTAGACGAAGTTATAGTTGCACTACTGCACTTATACACATTATGGACAATGTTGTCCGGGAAACTGACAGGGGTAACGTGACTGTCTTTTGCTTATTGTACTACTCCAAGGCATTCGATACGGTCGACCATAAGACTCTTGTATCAATCTTAAAGTATTTGGGGTTCAATAATAAGGCAATATGTTTAATGCGTGACTTTCTTTCGGAAACAAAACAAGCATTATCTGTGAACGGTCAACAGTCTGATTTTCAGCGTACTGGGTCTGGGGTGCCACAGGGCTCTATACTGTGTCCATTACTTTATGCTGTATATACGTCAATCTTCGATCAACAGATTAAGCACTGTAAAGCACATTTCTATGCGGACGGCACACAAATATATCATTCCTTTTCGGTTCATGATGTTAAACAGGCATGTGCACATATTAACAGCGATCTGCATTCCTTAATCAAATGAAATCGAATGTGATTGTATTTGGGCCCAAGAAATAAAAACAGACAGTCTTAGAACTACGCATTATAGTGAACAATGAAGTCTTGCCAATTCAGAAATCAATTAAAAATTTGGGCATTGTGATCGATGAGAATCTAAGTTTCAATGATCACATTAACAAGTGCATTCAGAAGGCTTATAGCAAGGTAATAGAGCCTTTGTGAATCATAAATCAAAAATTCATCTATGTGAAAGCTTAGTTCTATCCATATTTAAGTACGGTGGTGCCCTATATGCACCATTTTTGTCATACATATTAAAAAATAAAATTCAAAAGGTAGTAATAGTAATATTAGACTGATATTTGGTTTAAAACGCAGAGATCACGTAAGCTGTAAGTTGGACCCATTGAAATGGTTAGACATGCAGGGGAGAAGATCGCTACACATCTTATGTCTATACTATAAAATAATGATCTACAAAAACTTCCGTATCTGTCAAAAAAAAGTACGTTTTCGTGCGAACGTACACTCGGTCAATGTTAAATTTAGGGGTAGATTATCTCCACCAATATTTTATACCGTACGTTTTAAAAGATGTTTTTCATGCCAGATATGCAAAGTGGTAAATGAGCTTCCTCCTTGTTGTGCGTTGGCTGAGTGTCCGTCTTTAGCCATTTTCAGAAGGCGCCATGTTTTTTTATTTGGGCAGTAGTGTTCTTGACCCCATTTATGCTTTTTTTTCTTTTTTTTTGTAATTGTTTCTCGGAGAGAACCCTTTCGGACATGTTTATTGGAGATTTCGAGGACACGAGATTACTTGTAAGATTCGTGGAACTTCTTTAATTTTTTTTACCGCTTCTGTAATTAACTTCTGTTTGTTCTATAGTGAGGTGGAAGATCAATACATATTGAACCTCATCATAAGTTTGGTCATCGTAGATATTTATTTTAAGTATTTTGTTCTTATATTTGTGATATTTTTTTCTATACATCTGATACTCAATAAACCATTATTATTATTATCGGAACACCCGGTATACACTTGCAGACCACGTGTATTTAAAGATATTAATAAATCGACGACAAGACAACTGATACAAATTAACATCGTACTGATAGAGAATAAGTTGATTAGAAAATGTTCTATCCCAGGAATTGAATTTGATCTGTTGTCCCTGCATGTATAGAAAAATGTTTAAGGTTAACATCTAATGGAATTACTACAGCACTAATAATTTCAAGGCAGTGGTCAATCTAGTAAAGAAATACAAATTTAGTAGCCAATTTTTCATAGGGGCAGAAGTTAACCATTGTTTTCGTCAGTTACTTTGAAACTGAAAATTGTAAAATCATGTCACATTTATACTAAGCGGTGTGCGTCGAACGTGTTCAATATAACATCGCATAATATCATGATGAACTTTTCAAGCTTTTTTAGGAGCGTTTGCGATGGACCTCACACTTTATAAGGGCTTGGTTATCGTATGAACGTCGTCCAGTATAAATATACCTACATTGCAACTTTTAGTTTCAAAATAACTGGCAGAAACAATCATCAATATATTGGGGTTGGTCAGAGACACTTAATACCGCCAAAATCGACAGGTTAATTTTTAAATTATTCCAAAAAACTAGGGATATACAATATCTCAATAAAAAGCTTCTTAAAATGAATATCATTTTACATTTACCATATTTCGATAGCTGTTTTCGTCTTCAAACTATAAGTGAATATACCCCGTTTGTCCCCATTTCCATCCCTTATAACTCGCCCCAGCGACTTGATTAGAACGTATAAAAAATACGTACACATATTTTCGCCCAAACTGCAACGAAATCGGTGAGAGCGAGTTCTGACACTTCCCTTGTAAGAGAAAGTGTTTAAAGTATTTAAGTTTGAATTTGTAACTGATTTATATCTTATAGTTTACAGAAACACTCTAAAGAAAAACAATTCATGCTACACAAAAAGTCAGTAAAAATTATCAAGTTATTTGAACGTTAAATTAATTTATTAGTTCATTCATGAAATCGATCTAGTATCTTCATTAGATTGAAAAAAAAAATACATAAACGATGTATTAAAAAAGAAAATAAACACTTCACAAGGCGACAATGCCCAATTCCATAACCGATCAAAATAAAATCATCGAAAAAAATAATACAATAGATTGACAGAACAAAAATTCGTTTTCTTCAAATTGTATTAAATTTCTACCTTCCTAAGTCGTCGTCTCTACCCGTATGGTCTTTATCAAACAAATGTAGGCGAAGATGGGAAACTTCCAAGTCCACGAGGCACTATGCAATTAACACACACCAAAAAAATCAAAACAAAAAAAAAATTAAACAATCTTTTTTTATAGCTAACATTTCATATAAAAGGAAATGTTTAAAATAATAATTCATAAATAATATAGCGTGATAAAATTGTGAGCGGAGCAAAAAAGAATAATAATAAAATGCAAAACTTGAAAAACTTGGTTTTATGTAAAAAAATGTGAAAACCTTGATTTTTTTTATTTATTTTGTACCTTCCTAATGGGTCATCACTTTGTGTCCCTGGCAATGCCGGGTCCCAGTCCCAAAGATTTAAGGTGACCAGTTGAGCCTCTTTACTGCTCACCATAGCCTAATATAGTGCGAGTAGAGTTTTCTTTAATTATTGTATAATACAGAATTAAAATAAAATAATTAGAAGTGACACTAAAAGCTGTTATCATGCAAGAAAGGAAAATACCATGCAAATTAAAAAGAAAAATTTCAGTAACGTTAATATTATGTTGTTAAATGAATTGTTAATGCGTAGTTTACGACTATTATAAAAAGTACTCTAACTATCAATTAATAGCTGGGTTCAAGAGTATCTTAAATTTTATTTTTATAATTAATCTGTCGATTAGACAAATACATAAATAAAAAATAAACAATTCTAATTAATAAATTTGAGATTATTCTTCAATCAAATGCCAAAATTTAATTTTCTATTTATCATTAGTCAACCTTACAATAAATAACTAATAGTAATTGTGGTGCTAGCTTTGAATATAATGAAAAGAATGTTTAGAATATAACTTTTTACTCGCTTATTAATATACATATTTCCTTCGGAATTAGTTTTGAAAATTAATTCATCTCCCGAAATTTATGTATAAAGGCAAAATTTTTTTTTTTCGGATGTAATTAAATGACCACAAAATCAAAGTATTTCTGGTGGCAGAAGTTAACCATTTTGAAATGTAACAATTAAATAAATTTCAATTGTATCTTGGATCCATTGTTTGACCAATAGAGTTTAATTGATTTATTTGTACTTCTAGTTTATAGCTTATTTGTTGTCTTTCTGCTTAGAAAAATTTAATACTGTATACAGTCTTGTATAGCTGCCAAAGCGAGCGTCGGTATGCTTTCGGAGTTGGTTTGAAAACTACGAATAAAGGGGAAGTTTTTTAATTACAATTTTATCACTTTTCACTCTCCAATCGAGGAAAAAAACGAACTGTATAAGGGGGGCACATTTTATGAGGAGCTAGTAAGAACATACAAACAATGCCCAAGCCATAATATAAAAATCATAATAGGAGATCTGAATAAAAGATGTAAAGATTGGATGAGAGTGGAAATTTAGACCAAAAACAGGAAAGTACTTCGCTACAAAAGGGCAATGATAAAGAGATATGGCTCATAAATTTGGCAGCACAACTGAATATAACTGTATCAAGCACCTTCTTCCAAGGAAAATATATCCATAAAGCTACCTGGATATCAATTGACGGTCAAACACAAAATTCAATAGATCACACGGGTGTCAATATAGATTCCGACCACTACGTGGCAATTGCTTCAATGAGAGCAAGTATATCAAACGGAAGGAAGGCGGAAATACAACCTTAATATCAGAGGTTTAAAAGAGGAGGGAATCATGGTAAAATTAGCTGTGAATGTGATTAGTGCAATGAAGCCACTCGAGATTGAGGCTGATCCTTTCGAAGTGAACGATAGCTGGAGCACTTCCAGCTATCGTTCGTATAGGAGGCTCTTGACACAGAAAAAAACACCAAGTGTAATGGCTATATAAAGAATAATGCATATTTAGTTTAAAAAGGTTACACAGAATTATCATAACAAGAGAAGACTAGAAAAACGGATATATAAAAGAAAGAAACGAGAAAACGTGAACAAACAAATCCTGGATATGGAACAGCATAACAAGGAACATGAACACATATGCATGGGTAAGGAGAGAACATTACTGAGCTGAGCTGTTGAGTACTGAGGATGTACTCAACAGTTTGAAAGCAACCTTAACCAAAATGTATCAGAGATAGGAACCGCACATGAGACAAACTATATCGAAGAGTAGTGATAATAATTAACTATCGATGAAGTGAAAGAAGCAATAAAATTTATAACAGAAATATGGAAAACCAGAAAAACGGCCCGAAGAATGGAATAACTGGATTGGAATGAAAGAATGGAAATGGAATATGACTGTTAAATACTGCCTATATGGTATTTTCACTGATCCTACATGCTCGATTACTACCATACACAGAAAACGTGTAGAAGCGGCATTCACGAAGAATAAATTGACAACAGATCAGGTTTTTCACACTGCGCCATCATATTATTCATATATTATTGATTTCAAATCAGAAAAGTAACTCGGAACCTCGTAGATCTTGTTAAACTCCCTCAATGAATACAGAGACACATACAGAGTGACAATTGATAGAGAATTTGAGAATTTTATATCAGGGCATAGGACAGGGGAAAGCAATGCGAGTGTCTTCTTTCTGGCTACTTTGTTGCATACCATATTGTCATTACCATATTGCATTCTAACATGTTACATTTTTCATAATATTCGAAATTCATTGTAAAGTTTTACAAGGTATAACAACTGAATAGTTGTTATACCTTGTATATAAACTATTCAACTATTCAGTTGAATAGTTTTGTTATACTTTGACACTCAACACGGTAGAGCACGAGCACATAATGCCAGAGTTCTTAGCGAATTTTAACAATTACTAGCAAACTTAAGCAATTATTGGAAACATTTTTTTCCATAATAGTATATAAAAGAAATCTACCTACGCCATTGAACTCTTCGTAAAATTTTGCCCATATAATGTTTTAATTACAATACTCCATCTTTGGTAATTATCGATTCAAGAGTTGTGAGGCACGCCTTTATGCGTTCAACGAGCCATCTTTCAGAAACGCCGGTTCTAGACAGGAAGTTGTTGCTCCTCCGCTCCTCCGTGACGTCATCCGCCCGATGTAAAAGGTTAGGGCGGAGGGGTGTCAACCAAAGGCTTGGGGGAAAAATAGGTTGGTAGCTAGATCTGGTGACTTTTTAAAAAAGTAGCAGTCTACCTTGTCGGTAGTGGTTTAGTTCCACTACCAACCACTAGGTGGCGCGTTACTTTTTTTAAAAGTCACCAGATCTAGTTACTTTTCCAATACCAACCTATTTTTTTTTTCTCCTCCGCCTTAGGTTGGTTCCCTATCCTTTTACATTGGGCTGATGACGTCACGGAGGAGCGGAAGAGCAACTTCCTATCTAGAATCGGCGTTTCTATACTACTACTAATGTTTAATACAGAATATTCTGTTTGTAGTTATTATTTAGTAAATGCGTAAATGCATGTTTTAAGGTGGTTTCCGGTGTTCATCGTTAGAACATACATTGCATGTTGCTTTAATATAAATTATTTACTATTATTAACCCAAAGTTATTTAAATAAATATCAATTATGTTTTCAACAATTTTGTTTTCTGCTGCTTGATACTACATCCTTGACACAACAATTTAAAACAATTTTATTTCAATAAGTCGTGGACAAAATGTATGATGAAACATTTTAACAGTCGTTAGTACCTGGAAGAAATTTTCAATAATGGATTGTGTCAATCAAGTAGGATCAGCATTCAATGATTTAAAGTCATCAACTTGGAATGCATGCTGGAAAGCGATTTTGTGTCAAAAACAGAGATTCCGTCATCCCTTGTATTAAATAAAATATCATTGACACACAGAATTGGAGGAGCAGGAATTCATGATTTATCGTTAGATATCGAGGAATTGTTACTTAACAAACCCCTCAGTGACAGGATGTCCTTCAGACTCCTAATCCCAAAGAGCATAGTGACAATGACGAAGTTCTAACTGTAGAATTAATTCAGGAAGGTCTTCAATTGGCCACTAAATTAGGCATTTATTTTGATAAACATGACCCAAATGAGGAACGAGCAGGAAAATTTCTACGTGAGCTAATATACGAATTCTTCGAGAACGTATCTATCGTGCAGAAACAGAACTTGGTGTAAAATGCTTTTTTTTTATAAGTTGTAAGTTGCGACCTTATATTTGTATAAACAACTTGTATTATTTTGGTATTAAACACATATGTATTAAAAAATTTCTACCATCTGTGTATTATAGTACTATAATAAGCAATAAGAAAAGCGACAATAATAGTTTATTAATCATTTGACATTAGTATTGTGCCTGTACAGAAACTACAAATCTGATCGCTTCCAAGGTAGACACTCAATCAAATCAACCTGATAACTAAAATGAGTAGATTTTTCAATAGTCGTAGACGAAAAAGTTATTTTTTTAAAAGCAGTGATGAAAATTAATTCCCTTTTAAAAATAAAATGTGTTTAGTTTAGAATACGTATGTACAAATTTAGTTTGATTCTGTCCTACACCATTGTGTAATGTTAATTTTTTTCTATTTGGAATTGTTGTTATATTTTCTTCTACGTTTTTTTGTTACAATTCTCACCTGCCTAAGGCTTCATTATCGGAGGTTTCATCAAAATCCCAGAGATGAAGGTAAAGGAGTTGTCCTTCCGAGTCCAGAATATCAAACTTGTAACGGAATAATACAAGACAGTAGTAATGTTTAAAAACCACGTCAATTTTGGTTTTTTTATTTGTTGATTATTTGTTAAAGGGATTAAGATTTATATTGAGTTGGGACTTTTTAGTGCACTTAAAGTTATAAAAAAAATTCTGTTTGGTGGGTGATTTTAGTGAATTTTTAAAAAGGAATTTAAAAAAAAAGTTAATTAATAAGTGCTCCAATTTAGCATGCATTTAAAAAACTATAAAAAAAGTTAGTTTTGTGCAAAAAAGTGCTTTAAAAAAATCTTACCTCACACCAATAATCCCATTTAGGATCGACTGTATTTTGAATGGTTTTTGTACGAAATTCTTGAGCTCCCACGTTTATAACTGCATAAGGATCAGATTTTCCTTTACCCAGCATTCCAATATCTTTTTTCATTAAGTTTTTAGCCTCAATGACATGAACACGTAAGACACCCTTAACAAAAATTATTTAAAAAAACACAACTAAAAGAATTCGAAAAAAATTACTTCCGGTTCTGGTATTTTTAATTCAGCAGCTTCAACCGTATCACTTAGTTTAATTGGTAATTTATTGGGCAAAACCATCATAGCAGCGATTTGTTCAACAACAATACGTCGCAACATATCTCTGAAAGATGATAAAATTGATTTAATGTATGTATTATATAATTACATTAATTTGATTTTTAAATTTGAAATTACCCCAATCCTGGCATATCTAAAACATCCACAACTCCGACCAAATTGAAATCGATCGAGGGGTTGTTTAAAAAGAATACTTGAAGGCCCCCAACGATTGGCATGGTGGTTATTAAGGGTTTTAGAACGACCCTTAACATTCCGTGAAGCTGAAAAGAAAAAATTATAACATTTTTCAATTAAATATTTAATAGTTTTAAAATTTATTTCTACAGGGTGTATCTGAATGACTGCAACAAACTTCATGGGGTGATTCTTTAGTGAATTTTAAGGGTACTTTGATATATGAACCATGGGCGACTTCGGCTCCCCTAAGGAGCTACACCCCTCCAAAAATGGCGGAAAATTTTGGTTTAATTTCTTTTTCTCAAAAACCATAAACGCTAGGAAAATGAAATTTGGGGAATATGTTTAACTCATAACAGGGCACGTTTTGACCCTATTTGTACTTTCAACCTACCCTTCTAAACTACTAAACGTAACCACCCCCGTTCAATTTATGCCTAGATTTTTTTATGCAGATGGTAAATACAGTTAAAAAAAATTTACATAGGTAGATGAAAGTATCCTAAAACTTTTTTGTCTCTCTAAAATTTTTCCAAAAACGACTAATTTTTGAGAAAAAAAAATAATAAAGCAAACAACGAGGTTGTTGATCAAAAGTTGGAATGAATTTTTATTGAAAAAATCTTAGTAGGCTTTGTAATCTTTGTCAGAAATATTTTTGACGTTTAAATGTCAGTGTTTTTCTTACTATTATCATTGTTTTTCAAATAAAGTTCTATCGCATTTACGCTCGTTCACTCGATGTTTCACAATTTTAAATAAAACAATAATAATAGTAAGAAAACCACTGATATTTAAACGTCAAAAATATTTCTGACAAAGATTGCAAAGCCTACTAAGATTTTAATTAAAAATTCATTCCAACTTTCAATTAACAACCCTACAGCTTAACAGTTAGTGTTTGCTTAATTAATTTTTTTCTCAGAAACTATTAACTTTTCGAAGAACATCAGAGAGGCAAAAAAGTTGTATTTATCACCGTCATAAGAAAAATCTAGACAAAAATTGAACGGGGGTGGTTATGTTTAGTAACTTAGAAGAGTAGGTTGAAAGTACAAATAGGGTCAAAACGTGCCCTATTATGAGTTAAACATATTCCCCAAATTTCATTTTCCTAGCGTTTATGGTTTTTGAGAAAAAAAAGTTAAACCAAAATTTTCCGCCATTTTTGGAAGGGTGTAGCTCCTTAGGGGAGCCGAAGTCGCCCATGGTTCATATATCAAAGTACCCTTAAAATTCACTAAAGAATCACCCCTTGAAGTTTGTTGCAGTCATTCAGATACACCCTGTATATACAGGGTGTGTCAAATGTCTGGAATATAGCCAATAACTTCGCCATTTGTGGTTTTAAAGAAAAATGTTTCAAATAAAAAATTCTTTAATAATTGTGGCGCATTTTTTGGCGATACTTGCTTGTTTGTATTGTATTTTGTTTCATTGCTATGGCAACCAACATTGTTATTTTAAATGGGATGCATATATGTTTTTTGCATACATTGATAGAGGATACGTCCCTGTATGCGATGAACAAATCGTATGGTTGTATAAGAAAAAAATCGAGAAAAAATTCGTTTTTTAAAAGTCTTAAATCAGCTAATTACAATCAAAGTAGGCGCCGAAATAACGGCGTTGACAGCTTTATTATGACAGGTTATTAGCTATATTCCAGACATTTTAAGACTTCTGTCAATAAAATTAAAAATATTTTGTTGGAGAAGGCCTATTGCAGTATTAACCATTAGAGGACCGGGATCAGTACTTTGTATATGATAAATATATCATATGAAGTACATTTTGTAACAATTTTCTTCAGACAATATGTTACCTAAAATCCCGGCCCGCTAAAGGTTAATGAGTTTATAAGTGATGCGTCTATATTTTGAAATGACTATTCAACTTTATTGTGCTATTGTGTTGTACATTTTTTCTCTTTTTTTTGTATTTACACATGTATATTATTGACGAATATATATACCGTATACCTGCGGGTTTTAACATAATATATTATTAAAAAAAAATTATTAAATTTGGTATGCTAAACATCGTAGCAATAAATGTATTAGTGATACTAAAAAACAATAATCCAACAAAAAATGTGTATAGGAGATTTCCTGAAATCTCTTGTTTTGAAATTATGTAAACAATATTTTATTATTTAGTCATCTTCGGCGTCTCATTTTACATCATTTATACCCCATATGTCCTATACCTAACGTTAATAGTTTGGGAGATAACTAGGGTTTTTTGAAAAATGCACGCATATCATATTGATATTTAACCTAGTGTGCCATGGAAAGCAAGCCTTCTCAATGTGTTCTTGGCAATGTCTCACTTGTTTACGTCACTTGATGCACGTGAGTTAATAATTATCTGTTAGGTGCTTTAATATTAGTACTAAAAAGAGTTAAAATCGATAACAATAACGAAAATAATATTTACACAAATCAAGAAATTCTTAATTTATTTTTTATACCTGAAATGCGCGACAAAGTTCGTAGTATGATTTCCAGATCTTCTTTGGCAGCACGAATTGAGGTGTTGGGATTGGCCTCGAAATAAGCCAAGGTATTCACCTCTTCCGCTGCATTATCTACTACATTTTTTGGACAGTTTAATATATGACTAATTCGTCCAAAATGCAAAAAGCAAAAAAATTTCCTTCTGTTCTTTATAATTTAACTTTAAATAATAATGTGATAAAACTTACAATTTTGAACAATATTTTGAAAAAAACCGTAAATTAGTTGCAAATTAAGATTTACACAGTAAAATAAGCCCTATACGGCATTTAGGGTTGGCTGGGGTTAACTACCCTAACCACCCTAAAAATAATTTTTTTTGCGAGCATTGCTTATAGATTTTGATGCAATTTACCACGATGATTTCTTTATACGTTAAGTAGTACTTTTGCAAGAACTTATAAGGGTTAGAAGTTTGGGGTAGAAAATATATTTTCGCTAATTTTCATACTCCTACCTCCTACACAGAAATCTTGAATAGTATATACCTATTCAAGATTTCTTTAAAAGAACTTTCTATTCATGTTCAATGAGCTTTACTATCCTTACTCTATTTAAACAACACAAAAGTTGAGATAATTATATGTATGTATAAATATTTATTAATAATGAGTGAGATCACAAATTGTACTCTACATTATTAGTTTAATTTCATTTTTTTACTTATTTTTATTCAATGTATTGTTGGCAATAATGAAAATCATGGAAGAAAAGTTTTAAACACAAAGATTGTTTACACCATGCATAAGTTATAACAGCTAGGAGAAAGTAGCTTTCCATCTGCAAATATGATGGGTTGAATTGTGTAGTCAACAATACATTGAATAAAAATAAATTTAAAAAAAATTAAACTAATAATGTTTATACCATTTGTAATATTCCACCATTTTTTTCAGTTGCTTTTTAACTCATTATTAATAAATATTTATATAATTATCTTAACTTTTGTGTTATTTAAACATGTAGAATTAGGATAGTAAACCTCATTGAATATATATTTCAGTTCTTAAAAAAACTTAAACGTATATTCAAGATTTTTGTGTATAAGTAGGAAAATTATTAGTGCAAATATATTTTCTACACCAAACTGCTAACCCTTATATGTTCTTTCTAAAGTAGTACTTAACTAGTGATGTAAAAAAAGTAACAATTCGTTACACGAGTACTCGTTACTCCGCGAGATCCGACGTAACTGTTACCGTATCACATCGGTACCAGTTACTTTGGATCTAACAGTTACTTTTTCCAAAGGCCAAGTATTGTTGGATAGGCGAAATCGACTTAAAAGTCGAAATGCGCAACAAAATTTATTTTTACATTGCAATAATAAGCTGTAATATCTTTCATTGTTGTTTTAATATTTTTATTTTATTTTATTATTGCTTGTTTTATAGAAGAAGTTTTGTTTTCCATTGTTAATGTGTTACTACTTTCAAATATTTTTGTTATATAATAAGTGAAACGTAAGTTATTAATAATTAAGAAAAATTCTTCGTTATAATCAATATGCGGTGAAAAAGTAAATCCCATAACCTACACTCTATTTTTTGATATTAGTGCACAGTGCATAATAGCGTAACAAACACAATATAATATACGTACAGTATTTGTTTTCAAAAATAAGGTACAGTATTTCAAAATAAATTCATATAAGTATGTAGTCCAACTAAAACGAGTACTCTATCGCAAACGAGTAATCGAACTTCGAGCGCAAACTAGTACTGGAACCTCAAGCGCAAACGATTACTTGTAACGAGTACAAAGTAACGAATACTTTTTGTGAAAGTAACTGATAGTTACAAATACTAAAAAGTAACTAAACTTTACATCACTATACTTAACGTATAAAGAAATCATCGTGCTAAATTGCACCAAAATCGATAAGCAATACTCGCAAAAAAATAATTTTTGGAGTGGTTAGGGTAGTTAACCCCAGCCACCCTTAAATGTCGTATAGGGCTTTTTACAGTGTAAACATAAGATTTAATGCATAATAACTAGGTTAATAGTATAAACTACGTTATGTTTCTCTTGATTTGCTATTTCTCAAGCAGTGATCACTGCTATGCTTTAGTCAGTTTTTTTTAATAATGGTGCAAATTAACAGTTGTATTAACACTCGCGTCCGCTCAACATACAATTAGGATAACGTCAATGGCGGGCATCTTCGCTACGTATTGTTACGCCAGGAGCCGCAAGTAATGTCATATAAACGTAAAAATACGTGAGCGGCGCCTGGCTATAGACAATATAAAAACGTAAAAATACGTGAGCGGCTCCTCACTGATGACAATATAAAAACGTAAAAATACGTGATCGGTCACGAAAGTGTTAAATTAGTTTTAAAAGAAAAACGCGATCAAACAATTAAATTTAATTCAACATAGTGATCACTGCTCGAGAAATAGCAAATCAAGAGGGACGTAGCGTAGTTTATACTATTAACCTAGCTACTATGCGTCAAAAGTTGTGATATATTTCCCGAAGCTATTAAAACGTTAAAAAATAACGAAAAAAATTTGTTTTTCAAAAATTATAAGCGATAGTGAAATTTTTTTCAAGTC